CCCTTCTTGGTGGTGCCGTCAAAGTGCTATATAAAATCAATACAGGTACTATTTCTGATAGTTGAAAATAGTACTGTTTGCTGACGACCTACCCTTCTCCTTTCCGCCCCCCCCCTCTCCCCCGCTTGACAGGAGAGTTTTGGGGAAAAACAGGAAAAATTGGAAATTCTTGAGGAATTCCGGAAAATTGGAAAAGTGTTTAAAAGTTGGAAAAGTCAAGGAAAAGGTGTGTAGGATGGGGAAGGAGGGTCGTGTCAGAGGAGAGAATTGGGGGACGGGTTCGTATTTGCCCCAAATTTTCCTCGACGGCAGGTTGTGCCCTGGTCTAAGTACTTCTCGGGTTGATACGGTTACATGTGCCGCATGATAAAATTCCTATCCGAACCTATTTAGACTATTCCGCTCATCAGGGGCATTTCACTCATTCCCATCAATCGTTGCCAATGCCTCCTGAGGGAAACCATGAATTCTTGTAAAGCTATGCAACTGGGGCTCAACTGGAACTTCAGTGGTATGTTGACAGGAACCTACAAAATGCAACTCTCCCTTCCTACTGGGGCAGTATCAAGGAAGCTTATTGCGGTGAAGGTGGTCGTGAAAAGTAATCCTTAATGATCATTCTGGTAGCACTATTTCCTGCCCTGTTGGCGAAAAATCAACACCATCATCATCATCATCGATCAGAACGGTAAAACTGGGAGTAGATCTGAATGGCTAGATGCCTGTTACAGTATTAACGTTCATTTCATCGTTGTCTGTACCACATCAGTCTTTCATAGACTTTTCCTTCAGCGTTCTTCAACAATTTCGCATTCACTACTCCTCCTCTGGCGATAAGCGTCGCTGATTCGATGCTCCTCTCAAATGCAACCGGGAAAAGTATCACGTTGGAGGTTAGTTCCTGCATTACGCTTGTTTCAAAAATGGATTTGTTCGATGAACGATAAAAGAGAGAGATAGAAAAAAGATGAAGTTCTGCTCCATTATAAAGTACTTCCCTGTTGGGCATTTTTCGTATTATGACGTCATAAAAGAGAAAATTACCCAGTTAACTTCTTTAGGATGCTTCACGTAGAGGCACATTCTGAGGAGACTAAACAGACGAAGACTGTTGTTGCGTCCCCTCTCGGAAGGTAAAGAGAAGGGCGGAATAAAATGCAACTTTTGTGGATTTCCGCGCGCATGGCTGTCGCGGAACCTATCACTGATTCTCAATGTACTTTGAGAAATAGCGTCTGAATTTCTACTCATTAACCCATTCGCGACCAGGCGCGTTTTTCGAAAACGGCTCGTTCGGACCGGAGCATTTGCGAGCTCTCAGCAAGTGTCCGCCACCAGTGGTGGACACGGTCCCTCGTGACCCCTTACTAAAAATTTTAGCACTGTTCAACTTTCTGCTCCCGAAATCTCCTTTTTTACTGAACCATCGAGTGCAGGGGTTATTCCCCAATTGCCCATTGGCGCCAGTTGGCGCTGGGACCTGTAGTGAACGTCATATTCGTGACCAGACCAACAAAAAGCCCTAGTATGTAACTTTTCCTGAAGTTTGGTGAAAAAAGGTAGTGGTGAGTTGGCGCGGCACCATTCTGGCGCCCCGGTTTTGATGAGAGTGGCGGCGCCAAATTGGCGCCTAATGGTGCCAAATGGATCAAACACCGCCGGCGCCAGAAACGGACGTCACATTCGTGATCGGGGCACTGAGTAACCCCTACCGGCAATTTTTCAGCAGAAATTTTTCTAGAGGTTTTGGGCTCAGGTGCTGCTAGTTGAATCGTGCCTGGGACCCTTATATCTGAAGATCTCGTTGGTCCACTATTTGCATAAATTAACAAAGGTATGACTTGTACCACTGGGAAAAGTTCCTCGAAGAACTCGAACTGTTTCTAAAAATTCGTCAAAAGCCCGTATGGTGGACATGGTTAAGTGGACATTTCGGTGTCCACCACCAGTGGTGACGGACATTGTCACGAGTGGGTTAAGTGTAGTTACAGACCTGATCCCCCTCTCCCGTGGGGTAGTATCATTGTCCTCCAAAGAGCTTGGAACAGATCGGTAGGTTGTGGAGGCTACGCTCAGGACAAGAGCTGTTCGGCAGATAGCGGCAAGCCCTGTCCCTACTATGCCACCACCCAAAGACAGGGTCCTCGTTTATTCAACGTGCAGAAGGCTCTCTTTCCAGAATCTGTAGCGGTCCGCAGTCGCAGGGGATATTCCATTTTGCGACTCAAAATTCCCATGTCGGCAGAGTTACCACGCTACACGGCGAGGCACAAAGTCGTGGGCAGTGTTCCACCATCGTTGTCACTGCTCTAATCCTAGTTGTTACCTTCACAATCCCCTCTTCCTTACCCACAGGTAACATACGATTCCACGACACACTCTTGACCCTGATTTGGGTCCCTTTCCCCGCGAATGGCAATTGGAGCTCTGCCTCTAAAGGCAAATAGCACCATGAATCCCCAAGAGTCGTGGGAGTATTACTCCCAAGAAGGCAGACTTCGGGGTCATTGAGCAGGCGCTCCGTAACGGCTTTTTCGAGGATTGTCACTCTAAAGCGCCCTGTCGAGCTGCAAAATGCCGACCCGGACGCTCTCCGCGCCCGCCCGCCCACAAATTTTCGGCCGATACTGATGTTCTATCGCTCATTTACGACGTACAATATGAGGCGAAGGGACTGATATGAAGCGGCTGCGGTACTGCATGGATATATGAGTACATACTTGCAGCCGTATCTACCTAGTGTTATTGGCAAGATGCCTACGGGAAACTCGTCCAAAAATGCTTTCCCAGTCGTGTAGAACAATGGCTTTTTTGCAGGTTTTTGACCATTTTAGTGCGCTTTTTCCACTTTTTCCCCACTACATAACACTCCTGCTACCATTCTAGAGCGAGTACCAAATTAGCCTTATGCTCTATGCCTTTGGGCTCACTATCCAAATGACCCTCAAGCGTTTTTTATTTAGGTGAGCAATCACCCGTTTCCACCGGTCACCCAGGACGTGCTGAAGAATCGGAACTATTCAGATAGTTCTGCATTCATGATTGGGTATGCAGTAATCGTGTCGATGTCGGTACTGACTGCTGCATGCTGTCAATTTCTAATACGAGAACGGAAGAAGAAAAGCAAACATATGCAGGTACATACGGTACTGACTCGGACTCCTACTGCCTTTTTTATTATTCATCATTTCAGATGCTATCCGGAATTAATCCATGGATGTACTGGTGTACGGCTTTTGTATGGGATGCATTTTGGTACCTAGTGAGCGCCGCAGCGTTCATTGCCATTTTCTACGCATTCGATATTGAGGTGAGCCGCAAAACCGATCATTTCTGCTAGCCTTCCACGAAATTAACGAAGCCTTTACAGCAATTCACAGAAGATTCCCGAACGGCACTAATCTTACTGCTGGCGATGGCGTTGTTCGGCTGGACGGCGATCCCCTCCACGTACTTGTTTTCTTTTCTGTTCACGTCAGCACCGAAAGGCTTCACCCTCATCGTCATGTACAACATAATAACAGGTGAGAAATTCCCATTTTTCTGGATAATCGGACGAAGATCACTGTTAAATAAAAGTTTCTTGTTGCTCAATATCCGGATGGAGTCACTTGGACAACTGCGACTTCTTCGCCAGTGCACTTCTCCTCTTTGCCATCTTGAACGGAAGGAGCCATCACTGAGATGAACGCACTTGTCCAAGTAACTCCGCCCAATAGAGCTAGCGTGTAGTGAGCCTTCAGAAGGAGGCGCCATCGCGACTGAATGACACTCTCCTGCCACCTTGAAGGCACAGTCCGCCTTGACTGCCAAAATTCACTTTCTCATCGCTGACCTCTCCTTCTGTGACGGAGAGGAGGGAAACCGCGCCAGTATGACTCCGTTCATACTTTGCGGCAAGGGTCCACCGGCGACCACCAGCGTTCA